GAACAGTTTATTGTAATGCAGTCATGTTACTTCCCTAATTGAAACAATTATTAGTTTATATAGCTCTCTGATAATAAGTGGGTTTAAACAACAACTCTCCACCGTTTCCTCGCATCTTTGTCTAGCAAACTGGGCGAGGGCCGCCAAGGTATATATGAGTCTGTCTCTCGTAACTGGAAGATCTATGGTTGTCCCAGCCGGAAGATTTCTCAGGGCTAGCTTGACTAGTCTGTATACCCCCTCGTTCCCTGTGATGCCAAAATGGCTGTTTATCCACCGAATATCAACTGCCGTGGCTTATTGTGCTAGTGTTGTGAACTTTTCCATTACATCTTGAGATTATTTCCTTCGGTAGCTCTATAGATGTCTAGCGGCTGTAGAATTGTCGAAGAGCACCTTGATCGGACCGTAGTCTACTTTTCCTATGACAAACTCGAGAGTTTTCTAGGCACCTAGGATTTCGGAATCGTATAACCGTGCTCTCAGAAGAGAACCAGTGTTGCTCCCAATCATCTTGCCTCCTTGTATAGGGTGTAACCCTACATAGATCTAGCTGGTCCACATGATAAGCCGTCCGAATAATTACACATTATCTCGGCTGACAGGCTTGCTATCCAGTGTTTCGCGTATGCTACCTCATCCCGATTGTCACACCAAGTGGGTTCTTAGGTAGTTTTGCTCTTTGAGAAATATATTCTGCCGAACTCTTCTGCAATCGACACGCATTTTGCACTGATCTAGAGTCTTGTGAGGTTCCTTACGGGGGGGTTTAAATAAACAGCTCCTTTGACCTTGGCGAAGCCCGAGACGGCTTATGGTGACCTCAGGTACCTCCCTAGATCTAAATAGAAGATGATGCCTATCTCTCTGTGTGGCGCCATATTTGGCGTGGTTTGCCACACAGGTAGCGTCGTTTGATCTAAGTCTAAGATATTACTGTCAAGGAGATCTTTGTGCCAGTCTAAGCCTATACCGACCTTTTTGTCGCGCTGAGTTGTGATTCTGGTGAGGCCTGGCTGCCGTGACTCCGCTCCATAAAATACTGTACTGAGGACATAGAGCTGTACTATTTTGAACAGCGGTTTTGGGGCTGCGCCACGCTGAGCCGAATGAATTCGCCGTTTAAGCCGAGTAATAAGCTGCGCTTTCCTGCACCACTCCTGAACGTGTTGCTTCAAGTTGAAATGCAAGTCTATTCACACTCCCAGCTGTTGGAATTTTTGACGTCATTTAGACCATACTAAAGCGTTCGCTAGCAGCAGGCATGTATCGTGATAATCTGAATCAGGTGTCTGATGGTTTATACACTACACCCGCTATTAATACAGAGGCTAGCATTATAACACGTTTCTCTATCTACACAAGTTGTCGAAATCTATGAAAGTGTAGAAACATATCATGTCCAACTGTCGAAGCACCAGTCTTTTGCGCGCGCTAAATTTACTCATATAGATTGAGAGTTAATTTGCAAATTTTCAGCATATGTCATTCCCTTTTCCTATACGCGCGCGCTTTGATTAGGCTTATCAAATCATGTTCGTTCATTCTATTTATGCGCACGCTTCATACTAGAGATTCTTGAGATTGTGATTTTCAGGAGATTGACATCCTAAACTGTTTCTTAATCAATAAGCTCCACTCAATTAAGACTGATGGGCCGAGCAGAAATGATATGATAGATGATAAATGGTTCGCATGTATATAAGCTAGTGAGGGGATATCTGAATAGGACAGACAATTGAATCCACCTCAAACATTTCTCAAAGTATCTCTGTGCCACTCAATACTAACTTAGTATCAAGTGGGGAACTCAATCAGAATGAGACGTACCTACCCAGTCATATCAAAGTAAGGGAACTCAGTGTTACTTACACACTGAGTTGTACCACTTTGTTCCAACAATAACAATATAAAATCTTGCCACTTTCTCATCTGATCTATCAACTCCAGTCCTAATTTCTCTAAAGTGATGTGTAGCAAGAGTCTAACAACTTTTATCGCAATTCCTAAATAACTCTGACATTCTTACACCGGCCATCTCACGTATAGTGATGGTGCTAAGCTGTGGACTTGGATCTGGATAGCTGAGCCTGAAGTATCCAGCTTCTTTTTTGGGCCTCCTCTGATTACCACTAACCCAGACTTGGCTGGGTCAAAGTCTTTCTTGTTCTCGCTCCCTAGTTGGGCGAGATGGGGGAGTTTATCGAGTTCTTTCTGGTCTTCATCCACTGCTTCAAACGCAGTGTTTCTTCTACCAAGCATTGCCATATTATCAGTGTATCCGAGCTTGACGTCCTTATTCCCATCTTGCCGTAAGACAGATATATACAATAAGAACAGAAAATATGGAAACGGCAGCCTTTGTAGAACTCCAAACTCTGCAACTTTGTCTCGCGTAGTTATATCCCATATCTCACCCTCATCCTTCGTTCTACTAGAATTGACTCTGTCCACAGGCATAGTAGCCTAGGCCATCCCTAATTTCGCATTCGATGGAGCAGCCGTTTAAGAAAAACAGCATGAAACGTGCCTTATACTTCTAAAGCAATCGTAGTCGTTACCTTGTTGTTTCGCATTGCCGCCTCTGCATCGTGTATGAGGCAGGAGACCAGGACAACTGCTTAGCATCCAGGAAGACCCAAACAGCTGTTGAGGAACTATCCTGTATTCCCTTGCTAGCCAGATCATTCTATTGGCAACGAGCCGTTCCAAGCCATTTCCAGGACAAAAAAGAAGAGAGATTGGTCGCCAACCCTTAGCTGTTGCGAGGTCTCGTTCTAGTTTGGGAAGAAGAATCACCTCAGCAACTCCGAGCAAAGTAGGGAAATGCGCGAGCTATAAACAGGCTTGAAAGAGGTTCTTCATTTGACCCCCTATATGCTCATAGCATCCTGTGAGCAGGCAATCCGTGATGTTGTCTGCCTCTGGGGACTTGTCGCCAGTCCCGATGGTGCTCGATTTCATACTCTCCATTGACAATGTTGTCTTCCACGGAATAGACTCTGATTGTCCCATCTCTCACGTGGATAGTTCCTGGCTACATTAAATCTGATCCTCAGAATATCTCGCAGATTTCTGCTCGCTCTAGTGGGCCTGATAGCTATTTGTCCTCTGCGACCTTTAAGGAGGGGGTTCTCGACATGCCTAGGGCTCTACCCATTGCAATACTTTAAAATAATTTAGAGTCTGTAGTGGCTTTCTCGACTTACTTCCTCCAGTATTCACTTTTTTCAGCTTTAACCGTGGATCTAAACCTTTAACGGGGGGGACTATTCTCAACAACTGTCAGTGGTGTCCCCCACGAACCTCTAGCTCTCACTGTAGAGTTTGCAGAGCCGAGATTGAGTATCAAAGTCCTCACTTTGATGGGGATTCCCAATCGCTTGCGCGGTCTGTATCGTCTTCATCTCTCAACACATTCCCCTATCACCATTATCATGAAGCTAACCACGATCAGATCAGATGGTAGGGTCGGAGTCCTACTCATTACCTACCCTTGACCATGGAGGAAAAGCCATCCGATGAGTTTCCGGAGAGTACCCAGCATCCGATACGGAGATGGCTGATTGGATCAAGTCGGCCTCGATTGCTACAAAGAAGGGAGATATGGATGAATATGCGCACCTCATGCGGTCCTGGTGTCTAGGCATCGCCCGGCTGGGGCTGCAGGTTTCTTTGAGACTTTTTCCCGCGCACGCAGTTTCCATTGCTACCATTTTTACTTTTTTTTGGGTAGAAGGTTCCGTGGAAAAATTGGCGGAATGCCGCGGGTAAATACTGAGCTGAATGGCTATTCGTCACGGGCAATATATCAAAGATCTTTCAAGTAACAAAAGAGGATAGGAGCACCGTTTAAGTTGTGGCCTGGGTCAGAGAGGAGCCCAATGTGCTAGATAGTCATAGACTCAAGTAGTACAATAAAAACACACACACATAAACCTTTAACGGACCCTAGCTGATAGTTCTCGATTGTTTCTGGATTCCTTAAATTCGAGGTGCTTTGACTTGCACCCCTCGTTCCACCATGACGCCGATTTCCCGGCTATGCTCACTGATCTCTGTCCCACTGTCTTATGTTAGAATTAAATAATAATTGTTACATCAATAAAGACTTAAGTGAAATAAAAAGAGGGAGACAGTTGTATGTTTATTGCACTACTTGAGTCATTCATCATCTAAACATAGCACCGGTCATGTGTCATAGCTAAATATCTGAATACACATTAAATGATTTAAAGAAAAAAAGATACTTTGGGAGTGCTTATGTAAGATGATTTTCTGGGAACACTTTGCGTTGGCAAAATCCTATTGTAATGTTCTTTCCCATAGAAAAATATAAATTATTTTATAGCAATGCTTGCGGGTAGTGAATATTTGCCTATACTGAGTTATCTATTCTGTACTTTTTCTACAATATTGTGTCATAGCTAAACAGTTGCATACGCAATTAAAAATTTGATGTAAAAAAACAAAATAAGAGCTGATTTGAGAAGCATATTCTAAATCGGAAATTTCGGTTCAAAAATTGACGATATCTACTGGTTATAAAGAGGACCGCTAGAAACGAGAGTATGCTGGGACAAGGTAGAGCCAATACCAAGAGAATATGGCAGACTATATAATACAAGGCATCTTGGAGCGCAGGCAGGGGGTGGTGAGGAAAGATTCAGCCGGTCTAATTATTAGTCCGGTGATTCACAGATAGCAGGATAGGGTGGGTACGATTTCTAAGTGAAAGGGAGACGTAGCTGTTTGCACTAAACTAAGACTACAATTTACCAAGATCAAAATGTTATATGACTCGTCAGACATAAAGGCGTAGCGACGGCTGGAGCCTTTATGGAAGACCATTGCGTTGCACGCCCGCAACAAATATGATTTGTCACTTCTTTTTTAACAAACCCCCATCCACCAACCTCTTTTTACGGCTCAACCCCCAGTTCCAACCCATGCATAGAACAATAACGCCGTTCATGTAGAGAATTTTCATAATCTTGTGGCTAACGAATAGGTAGTATTATTTTGGCGTCACTGGCGTCGGTAATCGACTTGGGACTGGTCAGTTTAGCTGCTGCTAATCCTGCTTCTTTCTACACCTTATCATCAGTAAAATCTTTTTTAATTAAAGGAGCAGTGATTCAAGTAATTCTCTGAGTGCGTGTTCTTGGGTAGGGTAATGCTACCAAAGCTGGGTAAAAGCTTTTTAGGGGATATGAGTCTAGGTAAAGTATGAATTAATCTAGCCCTTACCTTTGCTTTTTTTCGCTCCTTATCACGAGCTTTGTCTGCAATTTTCTTGGTTTTAGCCTGCTCTTCCGCAAGTCGAGAGGCTTGGGTGCCACCGTACTTGGTGCGCCATTCATTCTCTTTCTCATCTGGAATACGGGTAAAAAGGTATTCTGCCTTGGAAATTTTATGACCACCAAGAATTTTAAAATCCCAGGTATCAGGAATTGGCGCAAGTGGCATATTGAGTTGTTTTACAATTGAGGCGGCAGTTGAGGGCATAAATGGAGATGCAAGAGATGCTATAAGGTAGGCCATATTGATGGAGAATCCAATGATGTTGTTCGTTCTCAGTGGACTTTCAGCTAAATTCGTATTGTCTAGACGGCCAGCTAACATCAGATTTCCCTTGGCTGAGATCTCCATTAATTTTTTCAAGCCAGATCGTAATTTCACCCCCTCCATCTCAGCGTTATATTCGGCTAATAGTTTATTGATCTCGCGGACAAAGCAGGGGAAATCATAGGAAGCATCCTCATAAGATTCTGAGAATTCCGGAACCACGCCGGCAAGCTTTGCGTTAACAAATTTGATAAGACGATTGACAAAGTTGCCCAGGTTGGCCAAAAGCTCACTATTATTAGCTGCAATAAATGCCTTCCACTCAAACTGGGTATCCCCATTTTCAGGTCGGTTGGCAACTAAATAATACCTCCAGACTGAGGGTGGCACTCCGGTTTCTTGGGCTGAATCGCCAAATACACCAATTCCTCGCGACTTTGAAAATTTACCCTGCTCATAGTTTAGGTATTCGGTTACGGAGAGGTGATTTAACATGGTCCATTTATCGCCCGTACCGATTTGCGATCCAGGGAAAATAATAGTGTGAAACTGGACATTGTCTTTACCCATAAATTGATACAATTTAACATTTTCTGGATTACGCCACCACAATTCCCAGTCTTTAGTATAGTTGGCAGTAATAGAAGGGTAGCCAATACATGCATCAAACCAGACGTATAGTACTTTATCTTCATAACCAGGTGCTGGGACCGGCGTGCCCCACACAAGATCTCTCGTGATACTTCGACCTTCTAGGCCTTTTTCGAGCCATGCTTTGGCGATACTGACGCCATTCGCTGACCAAGCTCCATTGCTACTTGAATCTGCAACCCATTTTTCGAGTGAATCCTGAATCTTATCAAGTCTCAAGAAGACGTGAGTAGTGTCGCGTGTGACTGGTGTCGCGCCATCAATTTTACATCGAGGCTCCAATAGCTCCAAGGGATCTAATAGACTCCCACACTTATCGCATTGGTCTCCTCGTGCTCCGGTATCAGCACATTTAGGGCAAATTCCTTCGACGTAGCGGTCGGCCAAAAACTTTCCGTGGGTCTCGCAGTAGGGCTGCTGTGTTGTTCGTTCTTCTAGATAGCCATTTGAATCTAGTTTCCGGTAAATTTCTTGTGCAATGATCGTTTGCTGTTCAGTTGTAGTGCGACCAAAGTAGTCAAAGGAGATGTCGAACCAGTCGTAGATATCTTTGTGCTTCTTGTGAAATTCATCGCACAATTCCTGAGGAGTCTTACCAAGCTCGAGTGCACGAGTTTCAGTGGCAGTTCCGTATTCGTCAGTTCCACAGATGAATAGGGTCGGGCGATTTCTCAATTTGCTGTATCTTGAGAAGACGTCGGCGCTAAGAACGCTGCCGATGACATTACCGAGATGCGGGACATTGTTGACGTAAGGCAACGCACTGGTGATGAGAATATTTTTCTTTCCCTCCTCTGGGAGAATTACATTAGCTTCAGTCATTATCGTGAGAAGTTCTTTCTTGAGTACGGGAATGTGAGCGAAGCTCGATAAATTTATTAGCAGGGTTGAACGAATGGTGGGTCACTTGTGGTCGGTGGAATGAATATTTTTGTTGGCGCGGAGTTCCACCCCCTCGCCCCCTGAGAGGCAAGGCACGAAGAGGGGTTAATCGGTCAAATACAAATTCAGTGTATGTGTCCTCCCAAAGCCATTGTGTAACAGGCTGTTGCATTCTCTCATCCCAAGCACATTTCCGACTTCGTGGCCGATCGGATCTGCCCACTACGGCAGTCATTTTCGAAGCCAAGGTCAGGCTAGTCTCTGTTTTATTAACTTTGATGGCAGCAACTTTCGACGCTACAACATCAAATTTTTACCGTCATGGCTATGCAACCTTTCGCTGAGGTACTCGATCTGGAGCAACAATTTTATGAGGAGGGATACCAGCAAGGAGTTGCTGATGGCGAGAGGGCCGGCCTCGACGAAGGACGGACGCTCGGTTTGGAAAAGGGGTTCGAAAAGTTTGCGGAGAGTGGTCGACTCTACGGCAAGTCTCTGATTTGGGCAAACCGTATCGCTCATACAAACATTCACACAAACCAGGTCGCAGCGGAGCAACCAACCAAGCTCATGCCACTTCCTAACAATAAACGCATCGTGACACATGTAAGTGTTTTACACGCACTGGTCGAGGCGGAAACTCTGTCTGTCCAGAACAGCGAGGAGGCAGTTTCCGACTTTGACGATCGACTGAACAGGGCACGCGCTAAGGCAAAGATAATCGAAAGGCTCATTCATAGTGCTCAGATGCGGCAAGGCTCCGTAGAGAAGCCGGATCCAGAGTGTGTGATAAGATTGAAAGAAAATGTATTGCCAGTACCACCAGCTCTAGATCAGAAGGTATGAAATAATAAACACTACGTTTTTCTTATCAGTATCCGAGCCTTATCTTCGCCCATTTTGTCTTCTGACCGCGATATTTTGACATATTAGGCTTCTAAGAGAGCAACATCTTAAGCTCGCTACTGGATTTAGTTCCTCATGCTAGAATATACCTGCTTTCTTCGGTTTCAATAAACTCAATTCGTTGACTGTGTCATGAATTACACACTGATACTATGACTCCAAATCAGTAAAGGGCCCTTCTACTACCCCATACACAGCTCATTAATTCCTGATTCTCAGTATCCCTCAATGCTCTGTACTCCTATTATCAGCCCTAACACTGATCGTACGCATGCGTATGTCAATGGTTAAAGACTTAATCCATTTATTCTTACAAAGATAGCTACGATTTCATTTCAATCTTCATGGGTCATAACCGAATTAGATGTTAGCGATAGTTGTGAGATTGTATCAATAACCATTCTAAAATTATAAAAAGGTGAAATAGGGGTTATTAACCTGTAAATCATGTAACTGTATTCATAAATCTAAGACGATCGTTCAGAATTTCGATAAATTTACGCTAAATTTCATGGACAATCCAAAGATGGTCCAATATTCAGTTTGACAAACACACACACAAAGTGCAAGCGTCACGTTGTAGAATTGCAAAAATCTACGCTTTACTTATATTTGTTATTTATGTCATGGGAGGATTCAGAGTAATACGTTTGTAGCCATTCGTAGGAACCAGACGGTATCTTGCCATACGCTCGCCTCGCTGTCTTTGGGCGGAGCTGGTACTTCAAGGTCGAGCGTGCACTTTGCTACTTCATAGATCTGTTCCGTATATTCCATATGCTCCATGTTTTCCATATTATCCATGTTATCCATGAATAACTCATCATCTGCTTCTTCACTCTCTTCTTCCGTCGGAAATGATCTCCATCCTAGCATCTTCTTTACCCATCCTCCGACTCCTTGTGTATTGGCTCGCGTCAGCCGCTTGATTTCCGCCTCGTCTTCTCTGTCCGTCTCATCATCAAAGGTCTCGTCAACATTCACAAAGTCTGGCTCTGCTCCAGAGAAATCATCGCGCGTAAAGTCTTTGTAGTCAAAGTATGCATCAAATTCGGCCGTCATAGGAGGTGTGTGGGGTAGCTGATTTCGACTCGGGCATCTGCTTCCAAAGCGACTAGCCGAGCGACTCATCGCGCGACTCGCATGACCCGATGTTAGTCTGAGATTGAGATGTTTCATAGCAGCTAGAGAGACTTCACGATCCATCTCTCCCATCACGCTTCCCCTCAAGCTCGCACGTTGACTTTGGTGTCTTTGACTCCACGCGTATTCATTTTCATATTCTTCATATTCATCGTCCCGAAGCCTTGTCATGCTTGTAGAGCTTGCCCGTGAGACGAGCCATGCTTGTCCCTTTGATTCCCGAGCTGAGCTGGCCATGGAGGCGCCTGTTCGAAGGATCCAAGCAGGATCATTTTGATCGTCGGAAAAGAAAGGCGGTGTTGGACTTGTCTCGAGCCTTCGTGTGCTTCGTCGCAGCTTCCTTCGACCGGGCGTAGAGGTACCCGACCGCAGTTGTCGGACAGCTAGAAGGTGTGTGCTCGATTTAGATTTTGGGAGCTCTGGCTGAGCCAACCTGCGAGTTGAGGTATATGAGGCAGAGCGAGCAAGTAGTGCAGGCGTTGTTGGTGGCGAGTAGCCCTCGAGGTATGAGATGTGAGGGGCGCCATCTGTTGACGGACTCTCATAAACAGGGATTCGTAGTTGTAACGGAGAGAGGACATGGCGATTGAGGTTAGGGGAAGAATGAGTCGTTCCAGTAGCTGGAGGACTTAGCTGAATAGGTGGAGTCTCCATGGAGTCGGTGTTGACGATGGTACAAGACGGGATGATTATGAAGCAGCTTTTGCGTCAAGGCAAGGTGAAGTTAGAGATATGTTCGAGGTGTGCGTTAATCTGATGTATTTAACGTCCTTAGCCATGTTTTTAACGGGCACGCCTGGGAAGAATGGGGTACACATCAAAGGATGACAGCCGTCGCTGACTTTGACACATGAATGGTTTCGGGGGGATGGGGGGGGCTCTAGGCAGGTTTTACGTAGAGGGTGTATGCGCGGGGCTGTGGGCGAGAGCTCCACCTGCTTTCAGACCGGGAGGAACTTGAATATGTGGGCATGTTGTCGACGTCCGCCCTGTCTAGCCTGGCAGGGGGCTACCTTTGGTGCTGCGGAGAATAGTCTAGCGCTTCTTGTACAGTTCTGCATCATAATTTGTTATTCACGTCAGTGCGACGAGTTATAGAACATGTCTGTTTTCTAAACCTGCTTACTAGGACTAACTAGGCCTTAGGATCCGAATCCCTTCACAAGCTGCCTCTTCAGGTTTGCCCTGTACCAACATACTAGAGGGTATTCCTTTTCTGCAGCCGGAATGTTGGAGCGCAGCGATACAACCACATCTCCACGCTGCGTCTATGATGCTTTCTCTGCTGCTATCGCTCATAACGCCTCGTCCGTCTCCGCATGCACCCTTTCCCCATGTTCCTCTAACCTCGTCTTGTCTCGGCCACCACGAAGAGCCAGGTCGGGATTTTATCTTGCGTTTGGACCGCCATGCCACCATGCCGCCAACCCGTCTGCCATCCAGGATTCTCTGGCAACTTGAGGAGACTTCGGGGAGCGCTAGCGTCATGTCGTAGTTCCACTGATTCTCTGTCCTCTACACAATCTTCGGCGGATGTCGGACCGCTGATCCGTGCACGGGTCGCTGCCAACCGACGAAGTTCTTGGACTGGTCAAGTTGTCTACGATTCAGGGCCGTCATTAAACTGATGGGACAGCGACAGTCCGATGACTAACCAATGACAAGAAGCTGCTCTATCACGAACAAGGCTCGCGAGATCGAGTCGTCCGTCCAACTTCCTCGTACCCGTAGACCCGGACGTGGGCGTGGGCGTGGACGTTGACGTCTGGAATATACAAGTCAGACAGTAGTCGTCCAAGTGACTTTACCTTCGATCTAACCTCAATCCGGATTTCCTTCTCATTATCCGCTGCCGCTGCTGCAGCTGCAGCCGTAGCCGTAGCCATAGCCGCGGTAGCACCCCCATTCTCTTGAACACTAGTTTCCATCTGCGACACTCCCTAGTGATCCCCACAAGCACAGTCTTTGCTGTTTTGAAGACAAAAGCCTTGGTACAGACGAGACTCTAGATGCGAGTTTGGGAAAAGAAGTAGAGCTTTTGCAGGGGTTGACTTCTACTTTTGCCTTTGTCTTTGCGTGGGAATTAGAACGATACATCCCTATCACAAGCCACACGTCGACAAGGAGCATGACCAAGCGGGAGTATATCATAATTGATAGCTGATTGTTTGCTTGCTTGCTTGCTTGCTTGGATATTGAATGAGATGAATTTGGGGACTGGGATGTATCAAGGAGGTCCAGCATTGACAGGTTCAGGTGATTCGACTACCACATGACTGTTATTTCAGTAAAATTTGACAGGAATCAAAACCAGAATCCGACGGAAATTGGTCATAGACCTTCTTTCATCCGTCCTCATGCGCTGTCTATCCAATCTCTGTGTTGCACTGGAGGCCATGACGGAAAGAATTAGGGCTGAATCTCAAGGCTGAACACCAAGGCTGTCCCCAAGGCTGTCTCACGAGGCTGAGGACAAGATTAATGCAGACCTTGATACGGCGAAAACGGGTCTCCTGATCCCCTTGAAACAGAGATCGACGTTGTCTTCGTCCCATCGCCACTGGCCAAATGTACGGGCCAGCTCCACTACCTCCACTACCTCCACTACCTCCACCACCTCCACAATTCGTCTGTTCGTCCAGACCCCGCAACCACAATCCTGGGCCATGAAGTGATGACCGACAAGCAGGAGATAAATGAGAGACAGGAGAGACAGGAGAGACAGGAGAGATAGGAGGGATCGAGACTCGAGACTCGAGACTGGATGTTTGAGACTTGAGAAACCAGTGTGACGCAAGTAATCTTCCAAGAGGATAGTCTCGACCATCATGGGAAGGCGCGCGTGCGTCGTTTGGTTGTCATGGCGCCCTCTATCAGACGAAAAAGTCAACCGAGCAGTGAACGCTTTCTCCAAATCATCCGAACGGTCTTGAAAGAAGAGACAGACATAGACGGAAGTGTCTTTGAGATAAGAGTTTGACCTGAAGCAGCTTTCGAGCTGCCACGGGCGAGTCATTTACAATGTCCAGGATATCAAAAATTACACGTGTTAAAGAACGAGTAAAGAATAAGGACATGTCCGAATCCTTCACTATTTAATTACTACCTTGGGGCAACGCAAAAGGCAACTTAGTGAGCCATGGGATCCTGATTTTGATACGGAAAGGATAGATTTCGCTCACGATCTTATGCAAGTCGATAATGGCCTAGGAGACTTCTGATGGCGAGTAAAATGTCTCAGAGGAACTACAACTATCGCATTGATGCAACGAAGATTTCCGAAGGTATTTGGTTGCAACTAGTCGTTATTTAATTTTCTCACGGGATGAATAGGTATCACTAATAGGAGTTTTCCCGATAGCAATGTAGCTTCCGGGACGGGGAAACGGCCGACTCCGAATCATTAGTCAATCAGACGGGTCACATTGTTCGAAATCACCAATCGGGTATAAGGTATGATACAGGGCTGTCTAGGCTCTTCTCTAACGTAAAGTCTGAACCACCAAGGCACGCATCCCACGAAAGAATTATTATTGCAGATCGAGTATATCAATAATCTATCGTTTATGGTTGCAGTGCTCCTATATAAGGTGACTAAGACCTGCAATAACATCTCAATTTTTAGGCAACCTCCCTCGGAAGGATACTTGCTGATGGGTGTCAGCAGGATTTTGCAAATGTCAGTATATCAGTGCTATCTACGAATGACAAGCAAGAGAGGTGTGTTTTTAACACCTGAGTCGTCATCTATTACGTGCATTGTATACTCCCAAAGTTTACAGCTACGGTTGAGTGCG